GGCACAGAAAACAGGGTTTGCCTGAGGGTAGAGAATGGGAAGTTTGACTACAAAAGGAATGGGGATGGTGATAAAACTGAATGTCGATTGTATGCACTTGAGAAACTCATAGAATTGTACACCAAGAAGAATGAATTTTACCATATGCAAATTTGATATTTTAGATTGCAAGATTTTATCCTGCAGAGAATTATAAAATCTCATTTTCTCAGCTGTTTGTCAATTAATTGTACTTTTTTCAGCATAGAAAAAAATATAACAATATAAAACCCAAAAAAACACAGTGTCACTGTTGAAGGATTCTAGAAACCAATGCATTATTTTGAAAAGTAATTAAGTGAAGGGAAGGAATCAGTATATAGCTTGCTTTCCTTATGCTATCTGTACCATGAAGTAACCAAACAAAAAGAGGAGGGGAAGTTCCTCGAAAAAGTTTTCCAGCTAATAAATGAAGAAGAAATGACAGAATATAATTTTGCTACCTCTAATGAGCTAAAGGCTCCGGGGACTGAACATCAACGGTACTAACATCACGGAAGAGAGAAAACCAGACGTTAATTGCTTCCGAATGGAAGAATATAACACTGTTTATGAAGTAAACTTATCCCCCAAAAATCAAATCTGAAGCTGAACAAACCTCTAGATCCAACTACCAATTTACAGGAAATATACTGGACAAAGAAACATATTAAATAACCACATAAGAGATGCAAGCAGCAAAACCCAGACAGTGAGAAATTCTACAAGAGAAACAACCTGGTTTTTTTCAGCACATTTCAAAAGGAAACAAAAAAAGGGTAAACCGGTATAGTTTATATGAGCCTTAAAATACAATCGCAGTAGGTGGATTTTGTTTGGATCCTGATTTTTTTAAAATACTTTGAGAAATGTTTTTGACATTTATTAAACAATTGGAAGTTCAGAAACCTTAGATATTTAATGATCTTGAGGAATGACTAATTTTTAAGCATGGTCTTGATTCTTGAAAGTCCTTTCAGAAATACATACTGAAATATTTTCTGATGAAATCATATGATGTCTGCTTGAAAATAATATGAGGTTGTCAATGAGGAATTAGTGGAACATGCTTGACCATGGGTTGATGGTTGTTGGGCTGGATGATAGTATAGTGGGATTTATTATGCTGTTACCCTGTCTACTTTTATGTACGTGCAAAAGTCACCATAATAAAAAGGTTTTCTTTAAGTAACAAATATTTCAACACAAGTCACTGAACAGTATCCAGCTTTACCAAGGTCAGTGTAGCCTTACTTGGTATATTAATATCTCTTAAATAATATTAGGCATGAAATGGTTAAGAACATCCAGAGCTATATAGCAGTCGAGAAGTTTCACATTTCTCTGAAAGGATAGCAGTGTTTGTTTATGGCACATATATGAGGCACTATGAGATAAAATTTAACAATGATGTTTGCAGTGACAAACTGTAAGAGCAAATTGTAACCACAAATAACTACTATGGCTGTAAGGCGTAATTAGTAAGGAAAATTAGTAGAAGATCTCAACAAACCAAAAGTAGCCTTCCTGGTTTGATAAAATAGGTAGAGTTCATATCAAAAATGTAGGATAAATCCTTGATTCTTTGCCTTTGCTTTTCACTTTTTAAGACAATGAATTGTGAATTGGTACTTCTGAAGATGACCAACTAATTAAAACCATATATATATATATGTGTGTATTTATATATATATATATTTATGAATTCATGGATTCAAACATATTTGATGGGTTTTAATCAATGGCAATTATTATTATTAATATTTAAGTTGTACTGTCTTTGGCCTGTTGGAGCCTCTTCAGTTTGGCTCCTGAATGGCTTGATCCACTCCTGGTAGTGTTTGTGGCTTCTTTGCCACCTGGTACGAGCGACTGTTCTAGGCTCATCTTTTATGTTTTCTGCCCCAGATCTGTAACCAGCATTTCTCCAAGAAGCCCTGAATGGTAATCTAGGCATAAGGAATGCTCATTGCTATGAGTTGGTCATTGTTTCTAACACTTAGAAAATATATATTATATATATATATATATATATATATATATATATATATATATATATATATACACACACACACACACATTATGTATTATATGTACTATAACGTATAACATATTATATACATATACAACATATATTTTTTAACTTAACTTTCTCTGTATTATGTGTATCTCCTTTTTTCCATACCAAAAATCCTGGTTCTCAAGGATACAGAGGATGATGAATTAGAATAATCTCATTATTAGTTACTCATTTGTTTTAACCCACATTACACTATAGTCTCAAAATACAAATACTAATATTACCATTGCCAATATGATTACTGAAAACAGTTACATAAATTGTTTTGCATATGCTGTCCCCATTCCTTCCCCTTTTTTTTAGAACAAAGGCTGGCAAACTTTTTTTTTTTTACTGTTTTAACCACTTTAAATTGCATAATTCAGTGATTTTTAGTATACTCACAAATTTATACAACCAATCCCACTATCTAATTCCAGAATATTTCTACCACCCCTAAAAGAAGCCCTGTACCTTCCATTCCCCCTGTCCCCCATCCCCTGGTAACTCTCTGTCTCTTTGGATTTGCATGTTCTAGACACTCTATATAAATGCAAGCAGGCAAGAAACGGCCTTTTGTGTCTGCCTTCTTTCACGTAGCATGATGAACTAACCCATATGATTTATTTTTTAAGTAAATGTTTAGTTATTTTTGAAGTAAAAAAATAAGTCAATACAAGAATGATCGGGCACCAAATTCCTCATCCTCCTGAATAAACAGGGTTGCTCCAGCTGACTTCAGCTCATTCCTTGCAGTAGCCTGAAACCCTTGTTAAGTGGGAGCCATCTACCCCTGCACATTGCATGAATAGAATCACCTGGCCACTGTACGATGCTTCAGGAAGAAAACTGGACTGGAGATCACAGCCTAAAATGCACCTCCCTCCAGCCCCTTTGCCAGAACAGCTCCTGGCTATGTGGATCCAGCCACTGTCCCTACTTGGCACCACAACTCTGCCATTCCTGATGAAGAGGGATGACTTCAGTGTTGAAATCTGAACCACAGTCTGCTTATGGGGCCCAACAATCAAACATCTTGTTCTCCACCTGTGACCAGAGTCCATCTGTTGGACTTGAGCATCTAATGACGTGAGACCCAAGTGAGACTGCCTCTCATCCTTCACAGAGGGCCCAGCACAGATATCCCCAAGACCTAGTAACATTTCCCAGCACCCACTCCCCCACCCACCCAGCCCACCGTGGCCCTGGGCCTCACCCTCCTGTGCACATCTATCTGGTAGAGCCCTGATCACAATGAATTGGATGATGTGTTAATGAGTCAGTTCCTCCAACCAGCTTGGGAGACTCTTGAAGGTATGGACTATGTTTTATTCACTTTATTCCCTCAGTGCCTGGTCCAGAGAATATTCTTCATCAATATGTGATCAGTTAGAGAAGGAAGAAGGCAGTGAAGTGAGAGGGTCTTGTGCCCCCACCAGACTGTGAGCTGACAGAGCAGAGGCTTCACCTCTTTACCGTCTCCTCCGCTTCCTCCTCCCCCAGTAAAACCCAGCACAAGGTGGGCCTCAGAGAGGGCATGTAAATGAATGATGGCTTTGCTCAAGATTCAAAACATCTCCACCTATAGGACTTCTGGATAACATCTTTTTCTTTCTTTCCTTCTTTTTTTAATTGAAATACACTCAGTTACAATGTGTCCATTTCTGGTGCACAGCACAATGTCCCTGCCATGCATATACATACATATATTCCTTTTCATATTCATTTTTATTAAAGGTTATTACAAGATATTGAACGTAGTTCCTTGTGCTATGAAGAAGTGGATCATATCTTTAGCTCAGGCAGGTGTTTCCTACACATTTCTGGATAGTTGGGTTAGAATTTTCTCCACTGTACTCTATAAACCGTTTTAAGCTCTTATATATAATAAATGCAAACATGCAAGAACAACACAGGCTAAAATAAAAAGCTCCTTGTATACAAACATTTTCAAAAGATATTTTAACACAGGGCTTAGAGAAAGGAGACCCAGTAGAAGGTGACTGAATTACTACCCCCTCCCTCCTGACCTGGTCCCGGTGCCTGGATTTGAGCACTCCTGCTCTCTACTCCTCTTAGACACAAGTCCCTGGCCCATCTTGGACAGGAATAGGGACCTTGCAAGGCCAGGAGGCAGCTCTGTTCCTGCCTGCAGAGAAGAAGGCCATCCCCAAGGCACAGTGTCCCAGGCCCCTGGGATCAGGTTGTGCAGGCTTGGTTAAGTGGGGAGTATCCTGGATTGCTTCTCCCCCTCACTCTTGACAACTCCCAGTTATCAAAGAGATTGGACTCAGCCATA